ACCATTTTATATCAATTAAATATTGCATGAAAAAAATTCAATACAAACATTGACATATCAGTGGCTGACCATCAGGTTGGAATTTTATTCAGGACAGGTTTTTCCAAGTCCAGTCTGTGATTGTTGTCTGTCTTTTTGACCTGAATTTCTTTTAAACAGGAAAGCGTTTCATATATGTTTGTATAAAAGGATTAGGAATAGATATTTTGTTGTTAGGACATCAAATGTTCTATATAATAAATATATTTCAACAACAATATAAATACTGAAGCATCATCAAAATGTAAAATCTCTTTTGAGAAAGACATATGGACAGAATCATATATGTTAAAAAATTTCCTTCACTTTTTTTTCCCAAATTTTGTATATTGAAGCAAACAAATAAAATAAAAAAACTAGCTGTCTGTCCCATTCCTGATTGCAAAATCGCTTTTAAAATGTTCATTGATAAAGAAAATCTCTGGCCATTGTGTTCTAATAAATCTTCATTATATTATTGTTGGTGTAAAATAGTTATATGCACTAAATCGTTTTTGTTATTTTATGCCTTTCCACCACTAACACACATGAAAAATCATTTTTATGGTATTTGGTTTTGATTGTTGAATTTTGAACGTTTTTTTTTGTATTCTTTTATGCTTCAAATTTGGATGTAATCAGGTAACAGTAGTTTTATGTACAGATTAATTCATTTTAGGTATTCATTTGAGGGGGTATAACATATTTGAATCCAATATAGCTGCATATTGCATCTTTGAAAGAAGACCTTGAGTGAAGGCATATAGATTGTGGAATTTCCACAGAGTGTTGCCAATCAAATCCAACTAAACAACACATTGCATTAGAAAGTATACAAACACATTTGAGACCAATTCTAATTTAACACTAAAACAAAATACAAAATTTTGAAAAAGTTAAGGTAAAGCTTAAGTTTAGTTAAATAGCTTCAAAATATAACATTTCATCAGTAGATGTTATTGAATTTCAATTAAAACAGATCTAAAATGCAATTTCTAATATATTGATTTTTATATCTAAACGATGGACAACAATAAGAAGAATAAAATTGTCACAAAATGATTTTGCACCTGCATGTCCATATCTTATCTAGCATCAGATAAGTCTGATAGAACAGCCCATCAATTCTTTAAATTCTACAAGTCAAATTATACCAAATTTAAGAATAAAATAAACCTTTTAACAGACTCTACCGTAACGAAAAGCACTTTTGATAATACATGTGGTGCATTTTCAAACAAAAAAAAAAAGATTATTCAAAGGTTCCTAAAATTAATTTCCATGGGAACATCATGCACTTGGAAATAAATTGGTTATAGATACCAGGATTTTAATTTGTACGCCAGACGTGCTTTTCGTCTATAAAGGACGCATTAGTGACGCTTTAACAAAAAAACATAAAAAGGCCAAAAAAAGTACGAAGTTGAAGAGTATTGAGGACCTTATTAAAATGCCACCATGGTAACCAATCCAAAATACAAGAATCTTATTTGAACAAGAATGTAAGTTAGCATTATATCATTCTGTCTTTCTTAATTCTATTGTAGTTTCTCGTCTTCCTAATTTGTGAATTACAAATGTTCACATTTTATTTCATGAAATTGTATTTTGTTGAAAGACCTGTTTCCATAGCAACATATCTTTTTTTTTTATTATTTTGTTGTATATAATATAAATAAGGAAAACATTAAGATGAAATAAAGAGTTTGTTCCAACCTTCAATTACATTTTACTTTAAAAAAATCTTTAAAAAATTGTGAAATTAGCAGTTTTTGTTTCCATGGTTCCCACCCTTGGCAGCAATTCCCCCAAGAATTGTATTGCGTATATTGAAACTAGGATATGTCATCTTATTGGTAAGTATGATGTCATATTCCAATGTGGATGCATAAGTTTTCTTTACTTCCTCAATATTGTTTAAATTGGGTATTTCTAACAGCTGTTGGCCCCTACTATCTTTCTCATGGTCAGGTAAGGGTAACATTAAATTCAAGTTGACATTAAATTCAGTTGTTGTGTTCAATTTTTATAATATCAACATATATCATTGGTATTTAAAGCAAGATAGTGGCATTTTAAAGGAAATATATGTCTGAGGTTTACCTATCTCACAGTGAAAAAGGAGCATGTATGGAGGAAAACATTAAATAACATAGCAACCATGTGATTATTTGTTTTCATCAAAGTGTGATAACTGACAAAGTTTGAAGCTTTTCTGAAACTAGGCGTGCCACACCCTATATCTGTCATGGTTGATATTTACAGAGAAACCATGTTAACAACAATAGGTCACCGTACGACCTTCAAAAATGAGTAAAACCCATACCGCATAGTCTTTTTCATTGTATGCATTATTTTTTCTATTTGATAACTAATTACATTCAATTGTTAAATTTTTTCGAACTTGCCTTTGAAACTATAATCTTTCATTCTTAAACCACGAAATACATGTTCACTACCAATGGAAGTCGTTCACAACTTACAATGGCATATTTAAAAGGTCATGTTTATAATATCAACAATAAATTCACACAGGGTACCAAGGTATCATATTTTGAACAATACAATAATAAGCTTGACGTCTAAAATAAATAATGATTGCATGTCAGAAAAAGGTATATACTAATGTTGGAGTTGTCAATTTATATTTATGTTTCCTAAACTGGACTGGAACCTGAACATTAAAAAAAAACTATTCAAATGTTTGACATGTAAAAATACTTTAATTTAAGCAATTGTTTAATTTATGATACAGAATAAATATGAATTTTATATTTATATAGCGAAACGATCCAGTTTGAACGAAAATCGGGGCGAAACAACTCTGGGTGCGAACAAGAATCCAGATCCTGTAGCGATATCTCTGAAAAATCCTTGAAGTACAATACAAATTAAACTGAATCAAATAATGTTCGCCATACCCCTTATGCCACTTTCTGTTTTTGTTGAATAGGTAAATAGAATTGACTGTAAACAGGTCTGAATTCTTAAAATTGATAGGATTTTCGGCATCAATTTTTACATTCCCTTTTTGTCGGAAATATTTTAATATCCAGATTTGAATCAGTATTTTAAGCCTAGCTTCAGTGTTGTATACTTTGACACGCTTACCATTTTCTTATTGCATTGCATACACTATTTAGTAGTAACACGCTTTGTGTCGTTGTTTATTATAATCGGCAGCTAAAGATTTCACCACGTACTGATTGACAATATAGTCCTTACTAAGGTTGTGAATAGGGTTATCCCAATTGCGAATACAATATGCTTAGATAAACGTTAACGATATGTACGTAACTCTATTTGACACACACCGTAATTGATATGCGATAAGGAGAATAAAAAAAAATGTTTAAGCCCATTTAACGATTCCTGTAGCGAAAAGTGGGTCTTTTACCGCGACGTTAGATACCATTCCCGCCCTAAAAGTTATCAACCTATTCCACAACCTCGACATATTTGCGGAAATTTGACATCTTGTTTATGCTTTGATATATAATAAGTGTAAATCAGTTTGGCAGACAATGGTTTATTGAATACGTTACTTGGAATTTGGCTTTCAGTAAATACGAGAACTCTTAGATCAGTACTGTCTGTCTTTTCATTTTGTGTTATTTGTTTGTAGTGATTTGTACCGATTAGATTAATCTAGGGTTTTTAATTGATTTTAAAGTTTATGTTGTTACACTACTCACCCGTGCTACGGAAAGGATCGAGCGCTCCCGAGAATATTTAACTCCCCAACATTCAATATGTGACTGTCCCGAGTCTAGATGTCATTGGATGGTGTAAACTTCCCACTAACACTATACACCATTATACCATTCACCATACACCATTACACCATACACCCTGTGCCATTACACCATACACGTTACACCTTTGAACCATACACCTTACACATTACACCATAATGCAATTTAATTTCAAAGAAAGCGAGCGACTACAAAATTATTTATTAATTTTAAAAAACGAATTTTGATCACAATATTGTAAATTAATGTATGAAATTAAAAATCAGTCCTTTAAGATCAATATTTTGCATAGTTTTAAATGTCGTACACCATTCATTCACACCATTCCCGATCGCACGTTACACCATTACACCATTCCCCTTACACCATACACCATAGCACCATACATCTAATACCATTGCACCATATGCCATACACCATTACACCATACACGTTTTTTTGGGGAAGTTTACACCATCCAAGGGCTGTATTCATTGGTAGGTGTTGGCTGCTGTCTGATTTTCTTTGACTGGTGTAGTTTGTAACAGGATTTGGTTTCCATTGGCATTATTTCACATTGTGTCACCCAGAAACTTTTATATATTCTTATACGGTACAGTCCTTGGATTATGTAAACTTCCCACTAACACCATACACCACTACACCATTCACCATACAACATTACACCATACACCCTGTGCCAATACACCATACACGTTACACCTTTGCACCATACACATTACACATTACACCATAATGCAATTTAATTTCAAAGAATGCGTGCGACTACACAATTATTTATTTATTTTAAAAAACGAATTTTGATCACAATATTGTAAATTAATGTATAAAATTAAAAATCAGTTCCTATCAATATTTTGCATAGTTTTAAATGTCGTACACCATTCATTCACACCATTCCCGATCGCACGTAACACCATTACACCATTCCCCTTACACCATACACCATAGCACCATACACCTTCTACCATTGCACCATATGCCATACACCATTACACCATACACGTTTTTTTTTGGAAGTTTACACCATTCAAGGGCTGTAAATGCTTTGTTCGTTGTTTAAAGGAATTCATGTTAATACTTGTGTACATCTGTTCACCATATGGTCTGATGAAAGCTGTCTCCATGGCAATCGTACCACATCTGTATTTCTTTTAATTATAATTAAAGATAAGTAAGACATATTTGGACAACAGTCTTCTTTCCCATTCTAATTAGAATACTAACTTTGGAATAGTTTGATATCGATTCTGTAAATACCCAGGAAAAAAATGCAAATGACTGTTGGAACGAAATAAGTCTTTGTACAGTAAAGTGTCCGCCTCTGAAACATAAATAAGAATACATTATCGTTTATGTTCTTATATAAGAATATATATAATTCGTCTAAATAACAGCCCAACAATGTTAATTCTGTAAATTTGCGATAGCAAATTTTTGGTTCTTCCCTGGCCGGGATTCGAACTCATGCTACTGAGATATCGTGGTACCAAATCGCCTTGTACTGTGCCCGACGCGCTAGACCACTCGACCACCTAGGCCCTACAATAATAAAGCTTTCGGTGGCCGGGTGTTACCTTTCCTCGTCAGTTTTAATCTAGCGTCGTAACACAGTACATGATATATAAGGCATGAAGATGTAATTGTTACAGATCAGCTGAATTGTCTATTGTAAAGGATCCTACAAATTAATGTAAGATGCAGTAACAGAAATAATTATATTATAAGTACGTCTGAACCAGTGACGACTCTACAACAGATTTTATCCATCGGATCACCAGTGATGGTGATACAAGGCTTAAAACACAGTCTGTATATATAATTCGTCTAAATAACAGCTAAACAATGATACATATATCAGAAACATGGTTTATGACCATGTTTACATTCGCTTATTATGTTTACGGTCATACGTAAATTGCATTTAACAATTAGTCACAAACACTCTTTGAGAAAAAAAAAAAACACACTGATTTCAGAATTTAAGTGAAATTCATTTATATCTTCCTCATTAAGATAACGATAACAGAAATCTCTATCCAGATATAAATTGTGTACTTTTTATTACCATTATTCCAGTTATTTGACATGTTAGGTTACTTTTTAAAAGGTTATAGATGACGATATTTAATTGACTTTTCAGCATTTGAATATTATGATACTACAATTCTATGGAAGGGTAATTTCTCGGTGCAATTGTTTTGAAAATGAAATGTGCGTTTTTCTTATAAAATGTGTTTCATTTTAATTATTCTGTCAAAATCTGTTTCGGAAACTTTTGAAAAATTAAAGCGAGGTTACATCTTTATAGATATATTGTGCACAATTGTCCTTCTAACGGGCATGGCGAAAGAAGTAATTTCTATTATACGGTGACGCAAACATGTATCTCTGAAAAACAATGTGGTTAATTAGTTTTACAGATCGTGCAGTCCTAACCTGTGCAAACGTTAACTTGGGGCAGACTTGCTGACTGCTTTCCAAGTTAACTTTAGTAATCATCAAACACGCAAGTAACCTAGGTCTGCTTTTTGAAGACTGCTGCAGACCTTTTGACAAGTCTGCTCCAGACCAGACCATTGCACAGGTCTGCTATTGATCAGTCCTAGGGACAGGTCTGCTCCACACCAGACCTGTAGACACCTAGGTCTGCTCAATAACAATCCTGAGAAAAGGTCAGCTTTTGACCCGACCCATTAAACGACAGGTCTGCTTTAGAGAGGGTTCCATGTTTAAGACTTTTCATATCAGATATAAATTTTTATTTTCTAAAAATAGTCGTATTGTTCATTTCCCCAGTACAGCAAATAACTATACCCGTCAGTGACTCTTTAAATATATATAAACATTAAAATTTCTTTTTTTCATTTTACATTCTTATTTATATAAAATAATGGCTATAAAATTACGCACGTTTTAATCGACATATATACATGCAGGTGTCATACAAGAAAAGATTCATTAAATAAAATGAAACTAAATAAAGCCCCGGAAATTGATGGGTTAAGTATAGAATTTTACAGAACTTTTTGGGAACATCTTAAAGAGTAAAAACTTTTAATTTCTCATTTGATAATGGGGAGTTATATGTAACAAATTCACCAAAATTCGGAGTTATTTCCCTGTAACATAAATAAAATTATTCTCTCTGTTTAGACAATTAAAGACCAATAACATTATTAAATATTTGAGTATGTCAAAAATAGATATATAGGATACATGTATAACATTATACAAATTAAGATATCATAGATTATGCAGAACAATTTAATATAGAGGGTGCTTTACTGTTCTTAGATTTTTCAAAAGCATTTGATTCATTGGAGTTGAATTTTATGTTTTTAGCCTTACAAAAATTTGGATTTAAAAATTCTATGCTTAGATGGATAAAACGTTTATATACTGACATAAAACGCTCAATTTTAAACAATGGGTGGATTTCGAAACCCATGAGTATCTATCGTGGGATACGTCAAAGCTGTCTTTGTAGTTTGTTAATTTTCGTTATTGCTGTGGAGATTCTTGCTTGTAGAATCAGGCAAAGACCATAACCTTAAAGGATTTGAAATCAAAATATATGGAAAACCACATAAAGATAAGTCAGCTAGTAGATAACACTACCCTTTTTCTTAAATCAAAACTAGATATTTCAAAAGTTTTTAACATGATTGAAACATTTGGTTCACTTTCAGGATTAAAACTTAACAGATCTAAATAAAGGCAACAGTAGTATACCGCTGTTCAATAGTCATAAATCGATTAAGCGAAAACAAATCCTGATCACAAACCAAAACCGAGGAAAACACATCAACTATAAGAGGAAAACAACGGAACAACAGAAACACTTAACTGCAACAAAAACAAACACCAACAGACATAGAAACGGACTATTTGATAACAACTGCCATATTCCTGACTTGGTACAGGACATTTTAAGAAAAATGATGGGTTAAACCTGGTTTTATAGCTACCCACATCTCCCGCTTTTATAGCAATGTTAAAAATACCGCTAAAAAGATAACATTACGTGACAGGAATACAGTGCAAATAAACGCAAGAACAGCCAGGACAAAGAAACACATAAATAAATAATATAATAGTACATAGCATAATGTAAACCACAGAATAACAACGGACACCTCCCATGAATCCACGACAACACACCAGGACACCACAAACGAATTATAAACTGTGCGCCACACGAATGTATCAACGCCACAAAAAGTGACGTATTTTTGGTGACGTTTAAATTATCACAGGTAAATTTCGAAAAATAGAATAGATTTGTTTTATTGTAGACACGTACACGAATATAAGATTGAGTTTGTAATGGTGTTATTTTATATATTTTCTAACCATGTCGGTTTTTTTGTTCTAAATCAAAACTGTGTATAAACAAAAAAAAATCCTGTGCAAATAGTTGCTTTAAACTAAAAATCATATAAATGAAATAGCTGATTAATTATCTGAACTTTTAAATACATATAGAAAATAAAAATAAATTAACTGTAATATAAGGCATGGACATGTAAGACCAAAAAGTAAACCCACTTGATAACAAACAATATAAAACAAAAACACTGTAGACGAACCGCGAGTAACTCGACTATACTGACAAATAAGACATATGAAACGGAGGGTTTTTGGCTGGGGAAACAAAAACACTGTAAATAAAAATATGAAAATATTAACTTTACAGAAAAACCAGTTAAAAGTATTGGAATATATTTTGGACGTAACAAAGAACAGTGTCAGAAACTAGATACTGAAAAACAGCTAGAAAAGTCTGAAAAAAATTAATTCTAATTGGAAAAATAGAAACTTAATCATGATAGGGAGAATACCAGTTATTAAATCTTATGTCATTCCTAATATTGCATGTTTGGCAACAGTTTCTACTTTAGGCAGAGAGTATTTAGACAAATTAAAAATATATATATATATGAATTTTTATGGAACAATAAGATAGAAAGTTAAACGCACTGTAATAAGCTACGACAAGTTAGATGGCGCATTAAAATGGTGAATATAGATAAATATATAGAATTTATTAAGATAGGTTGGATAAAAAGATTAAATTGAAGATCAATATATATGCAAACATTTATTCATACATGTAAACATTTAAAAGATAATAAACTGAAAATGTGCAGATGGAAATTATTACACTGTATTCTTCCAAACAAAGTTTAATCAAACAATGGAAAGTAAGCCTTCACTCTAATTGTAATTTTTGTATCCTTACAGAAGACTATGAAATTTTTTTGTAACTTGCCACTTTTTATATGAATTTTTGGGGGAAATATATAGGTTATTTGAAAGAATTAAGATTGGTAGACATATATTTACTTTAAAGAATTTAATCTGGGGTTATAAAAATGATGATGAACATTATTATGAAATAAACTTTTACTTACAGTTATTCTGTTTACTATACACAACATACACTATTTGTCGGATATAGGACAAAGTATATCAATCTGTATACTGTTTTTACGTATTTTACGTATACATACCTTCTATGGCTAATACATTTACGTTTTATAGAAAAACTAAGTGTTTTATTCCACACAAAAATCTGAAAATACCGTAACCTGGACGATAGAGAATCATATTAAACCATAAAACAAATCCCGAAAATGCTACTATAACCCGTTATTCTTTTTTACTATCAACATCTATCCGATAGTTAACAATATCATTTTAAAGATGTATTCTTATGACGATTTTAACGAAATTTGGAATTGGTTTACGGGAGATAACTCTTATCTATTTCAATGTCACAAAGTTGATGACAAAATTGATAGTTCGCCGAAAATTAATATAACTGTCAAATGTATTCAAACGTTGTCTATTTATTATTTTTCGGGAAAATAAATGTTCAAAACTTAAAAAGAAATTCTTATAAAACGTTGAACGACACACTCACTTCCCCGGATGCAAGGGTCGCCAATGTAAACAAATTCAACGGGACATAAATAAGAAGACAGCAGACGATGAAAATAGAAAGATGGGGCGCAAATTAAAATGAGGATTTAAAACAAAAAAACAGAGAGAAGGTTAGAGAAAGTATCTGAAGGATTATTAGAAAGGAGAAACAATGTCGATCAAGATCTATCCGTCTTGCAGTTGCATGACCATTCGTATTCGTCTTAAACAGTGAAATGAATGACATCCCTTCCTTTACAAACAAATCGTAGAATTCAGGAAGGCGCATTGTAGAGCTTGGTGTACTTGCAGAGGGTCTGTCGGCCTGTAGGAAATGTGGAGTACCTCTGCAACTGGTCCACGCATCTGACATTCTGATATATGGATTGTCAGCTATTATAAAGGTAAAAACTACAAAACGCACAAAAACAATCGCATTTACCATCAAAACTCTTCATTTGAATCATAATTTGTTCACCTTTTCAGGACCAGAACATATATTTAAAAAAAAAAGGATATTTCATCAGAATTAAATGTTCATCCCATTCCTACAACGTATAAATTCATAAACATCACATTCAGTGTTTTGGGGGTCCTCAGGACTTCAAACTGTCTCTGTTTCATACACCCATCTTCTAACCCATAGGAAAACACTTTGTGAAGGGTATTTGGGCTTAGCTTAATTTGAAATTTGAACTGGTATGAGGACAAAGTTGAGGTTAGTAATTTTTTTATACATACTCTATCATAGGCACGAACTGGTGTATGTTTTCATGTTTTATAAACAAACCTGCCAAACACCTATCGTTTTTTTTTTTCTTGATTCCCACCTGTGTTGACCTGGAATTTACATGGTTAAGGTTGAAACACACACATTTCCATGGGGAAGTGCTGCTCAATTTATTTTCGTGTTTGGACTTAGGTATTTTTCAGCTAAACTTTTTTTTAGCCCACCATTGAGAAGTATTTTTCCTCTTCCAGACAGCCTGAAAATTTATCCTACTTGTAACACAATTTTGAATGATTTTGGCAATCTGCTTATACAAGACCATCAGGTTTGAAGTCGGTATTTCTGCTTTTACGAGACATAAATTATCAAAAAATGATTTTCAGGAGATATAATAAAATGAATTCAATTAAATTCAAGATGTTACCTACATGTATAAAATAAGGAGATGAGGTATGATTGCCAATGAGACAACTATCCTCCAAAGTTC